GTCCTGCAACTGGTGCCCATTGGGACTGGTAGGCTGGCAGACAGGGAGCCCAACAATAGGTGGAGCCAGAGCCAATGACAAGTGGAACTGACTCTGGTTTTGTCTCCATCTTCCTCCCTGCTGGGCAATACTGAGACTAAGGAAGAGGAAGCCAACAGCCAGTGACACACTTTGGGCTGGTTGTGAGTGGGGGACACACTGCCCCCACTTGCCCTAAAGATCCAGCCTTCCCTGCCTGAACCCTCCAAGCTAGCCTGCTGACCTCTGATACAATCAAGGATGCTGTCCCATTGCCAGTGTTGAAATAAGATTCACCTGCACACACCACGAGGGATGCCACCATAGGAACGTAAGAAGCAGCCTCATACTGAGCCAGATTGTTGGTCCATCCAGCTCAATATTGCTTACACTGACTCGCAGTGGCTCCCCACCATTTCAGACGGGAGTCTCTTTCCCAGCCCTACCTGGAGATGCAGCCAGGGATTTAATCTGGGATCTTCTGCATGCAAAGCAGATGCTCTACCACTGAGCTTACGGGCCCTTCCCATCTCATCATCCTTCGCTACTTCAGCTGGCAAAACGTCTCGCGCTGGCTATGAACAGTCACACAGTCATCTCCCCACTGGGGACTGGCATTTCCGTGGCTAGTGGCTGCCCCTCATATATGCATAGATCATTTAGCACAGCTCAGGGCAGTATCTCGCTCTGCCCGCACGCCTGTGCCTGCCAAGCGGATCACAAGCACCGCCAGATCTGACAGCCCGAATTCGCCATCATGGGGGTAGAAAGACTGAATCCTGACTGAAACTGAGACTGGGCAACGCCTGTCAAACAAAGAGTTCCCATCAATCCTCTAGGCTTACATTTGCCTCATGGGCTGGTGTGAGGAAAGCCAATTTAAGTCCTGCATGGATCAAGGCAGGCCAGAACTGAAACGCACACCCCTTGGAATAGGACATGTCAGCAGCAGCACCTTCGCTGTCATTGACTGTTGACAGGGAGGAGGGAATCGGAGGCTCAAGAAGATGACTCAGTTCTGGTATCCAAGTTGTGTTTCTAAAAAAACTCGTTGCCAGCCCTTTGCCCTGTCCCAGAGAGCTGACAGAATTGTCTGAGGATCCTAGGAAAATGCCTTATTGTGGGCCAGACCGTTTGTCCAGCTTGCCCAGTACTGGCAGCTCTGACTGGCAGCAACTCTCCAGGGTTTCAGGTGGAGAGCGGGACTGTCACACTGCTTGCTACTTTATGTTTTTAACTGGAAATGCTGGGAATTGAACATGGGAACATTTGCATGCTAAGCGAATGCTTGACAACTGAGCTAAGGTTCCTACCCCCACTGAGCCTGTTGATATACCTCTGACCACAAGAGAAATTTTCTAACAGACTTTCAGATGCTGGCCCATTGACCAACTCCTGTTAACTGAACAGGAAATTAGATTGTTCCAAAACAAAAGTGGAATTTTTGGTTGCCTCCCTTCGTATACAAAGGTGGAGCATGAGGGTGAAGCTTGGAGCAACATTATTGTAACATTGAACTGTGGCTTGGTGCTACGTCTGAAATAGGATTGGGAATGTAATGACTACGTATTCAGCAGAGAGAAGGGCACCTGGGTTCCTTGCAAAAATAGAAAATACTGCATTCAGATAATCTGATTTAAGGGCCACATTACTCCATTGGAAAGCTGTTGGGGGCCGCATTCCAGTAGGGGGCTGGAGGTTAACACAAGTGCAAGCTCTAAAGTAGCCAAGTAATGTGGACAAAAATGCATGTGTACTGTAAAATATGCATATGTTTGAATCAGGGGAATACCAGTCCCTGACCCCCCCCCCCATGCTGCATGCCCTTTGACAGAATTACCTGTGCATTCTGCTGTGGCCTTTGTATCTACATGGAAAGGTAGTGACATTTATCTCTGCATGTCCCCCTTAACAAAGAAGTGACCACAATCCTTATCTCAAGGCTCACCTCTCCCAGCTGTAAAACAAAATGTTTTATGGTCTGGGCAGACTGTCCTTTTGCTTATCCAGAGAGATGGAGATAAGTCTGGAGGAGGATCCAGTGACATCCCTGGCAATAAACTGCAATTGAAAAGGAAGTGGGAGGTTGGGGGAAATTACTGTATATCCAATGGATCATTTCAGAGGAACAAAGTTTGTGGATGTGAAGTCGAGATAAGAAACAGAGAGGTGATCTTGGCAAATGGCTTCTATGCACGTAGGCCTTTAAGCTTCTCCCACACTCCTGTCCTTACCGTGTGAGTTAAAGCAGGTCAACCTTAGGCGAGCCCTTGAAAGGCAGCTGATTTGTGTCAGGCTCTGGGCTTAATGACCTCAGGTGGCCAGTTCCACAACTCTTCAGCCAGCAAATACAGCTGTGGGGTGCTGAATGTAGATAAAGTAAATAAAATTTATGTTAAAATATTTGTTCTGATATTATGCTTCCCTTGTGTTTTCAGGGGTGGGGGTCCTGTGTCCCTTCAGATATTGCTGGAGTCCCAGCTCCCATCAGCCCCAGCCAACTTGACTGATGGTCAGAGCTGATGGGAACTGGAGTCCTAGAGGGTCTCCACCCAGGTTCACATAATGAAGATCCATGTTTGGGTTTTTTTCTTGCCAGTGTGAGGAGCTGGAAAAATGAAACAAAGAAGAAAATGCTGATAAACAAAATGTAAATAGAGAAAAATGCATTAGTGCAACTAAAAATCACACAGAATCCTGCAGTAGGGCTGCAACTGCAATCCTATACAAATTTCCTGGGAATAAGTATTACTGAACTCAGTGGGTCTTACTTCTGAGAATAGACATTAGAGTGACCACCTAGGCATCATTTTAAAAAGGAGATATATGTTTGCAATTAGAAGAGTTGGTTGAGTGCTTCCCTTTGAAACAGTGCCCTCTCCTGTCCTAGTGCAGTATGTGCAAACCCACCCTCTTTCTTATTCTAGGTGGATTTTGATGCAATCTAAGTGAAGCTCATGTTTGGAAATTTTGGATTTCTGAAGAGCCCGGAAGATTTGCTTTGCAACTAAGAATTCTGGACATTGGCATGGTATCATTCCGTCTACTTCTGATGCACAAAGGTATTTGCTATTATAATTATTTTGTCAAAACAGCATCAGCCACACTCAAGAATGGGAGGTATTAGAGTGTATCACAAACCTTTTTTGGGGAAAAGCAATCCTAAGGGGGAATTCCCCACCTCAGTAATAACTCAGTGAGCATGCTCAGTTATCACAGAATGTTGACTATCGGGGAAATGTGCACATCTAGAGAAATTGCATACAAACATTGGTGCACTAGGATAAATTTGCATTAAAATGCTAATGAATTTTCATAAAGGTTTTTAAAAACCTGTCACGGAAATGTGGAGAACTGAAATTAGATGTGGAAAAATGAGAAACTGAGAGAAACCCAAATTGACAGATGCCTTCATCCTTACGTAGTTCACATATGGTAGTTAAGATTCTTACTGCATGCCCGCCAGATCTTGTTGGACTACAAAGCCCATCATCCTTGATCATCAGAAATACTAGTTGGAGTTGATAGGAATTGAAGCCCAGCAACATCTGCAGGGTGACAGCTTCCTCATCCCTGGCTTAAAGCATTGATTATGACAAAAGTGGACTGTAAGCCACAAAAGCAGCAACCACAATGGATTTCTTGACGCTTATAGTGCCAAAATACTGCTGTCCATTTCAGCATTCTAAAGTGCTCCAGAAATGTAGATTGACCGGAAAAATATGCACAATTCCTTCTTCATGGAGCTATTATGTGCACATTCGCCATCACCCCTGGAGAATGTGTGCAATGCCCGATTGTTAAATGCATTAACCGCTTGGCATCATGCACATCAACTTACATTGTCCCTAACATATACACACATCTGCCCATCTCACCTGGAATACTGTGGCCAGTTTTGGGGCAATGTCATGGACTGGCTGGACACAGAGAAATGAAGATGAAGCCTTAGGCTGCAGGAAAAGGAACTGGGAGAGGCCTTAGAGAGCAGTGGGAAGGCAGGCACATTCAGTCCCCACAAATGCCTCATGGAGACAAGTCCTACTGGGAAGAGTTGCTGCAATCACTAAGCCTGCACTGTTTTGGTTTCTTTGAATAAAGAGTTAACTTCACTGACACCAGTGCTTTTTACTGCTGACCTCCTGACCCTGGCTGCTGATGGGCAGTTTAAGGATATTGATAAGCAGGAACATTTCTCTAGGAAGGAGATACAAGATAGTGAGAGGCCTGGATGCTAAGTCCTATGGAGAAAGGTTGAGGGAGCTGAGTATGTTTATTTTGGAGAAGAGATGATAAAGAGGCAATAGGATAGCTGTCTTCAAATATCTGGAGGGCTGCTGGGCAGACAATGGAGAAAATTCATTGCTGCAGATGGCAGTATCTGGAACAAACTGTGTCAGTGGGTGGTGACCTCTCCCTTGTTGGAGCTTTCTCAGCAAAGGTTAGAAGACAGATTTCCTGGGACTGGATTAGATAACCTTTGTGGCGACTTCCAACTTTACAATCCTATTCTCTCTTTATTTATCTGCATCAAGCTATCTGCTCTTGGCACTTTTCTTTTATGTATCTAGAACATCCAACCATCCATCCATCTCTCTCCCCATCTCTCTCTCTCTGAAGAGACTGTTTTTGCTTCAAGAGGCTTAATGTTTGGCAGTTAATTAACGCAATTCCAGTGTAGGCGTCCAAGATGAGATTCCAGATGGAGAAAACCACACAGAGAGATTACAGGGAGCTTATTAGATGCCTTTGCTACCTAGGACCATCCTAGCAACCTCAGGGTTGGGAGCCATCACCCTGAACCAATAACCAAAATGTTTTGACGCACAGGAGTTAACGTTTAACCCACAGCTTGGGTAGTATTCTGGAAAGCAGAAACCTGTTGTGTTCAACCCCCATCCTCACCCCTTGGAGCCGCAAAGCAGGAGATCACCCAACTTTCCATCCAGCTTAGGACCGTAGGCTATGGGAAGAAAAAGAGCGGTCATTTAAAAGCTTGACCTGTTGTCATTGGGAGTCACTGGACCTAGAACCAGGTCTCAAAGAGCTCTGGGAGCAGCTGCCTAATGTGGTGAGTGACCATACCTTGCAATATTTTCTAAGGCAGCATAAGAATCCTCAGACTCTGGACTGGACCTCCCAGCACCCAGGTTGCCGTTAGCCCCTCCTAGGCAGAAACAGTGGTACAGGTCTTTGTGTTTAGACTGAGATTTTGCCAGAGCAACAACTAACTTCCTAGCTCTGACTCCTGCCTTCGACTCTTGGCTTTGCCTTGCCTGCTCCCCTCTGATCGCTTCCTGATTGATTTAGCCTGACCCTCACCATGATTAAGCACCAGAGCTGCCTCAATCAGACTACTCATGTTTGGACCAGTGACCTGGTGCTTTCCTTGGCTGCTCCTCAGCTGACCATCTCCTTAATCTCTGTGCTCTTCAATTCTGCCGTCATCTTTGCCGTGGTGTACTCCAAAGAACTGCGCAAGCCCATCTTCATCCTTTTCTGCAACATGGCCTTCTCCGACCTCTTCACTAGCTCTACAGGCTTCTGGATCGCCCTGTTGTTCATCACCAACCCTCAAAGTACCATCAGTGGGTCCAAGGAACTCCTCACAGCATATGCCTTCTACACCATGTCAATCCTGGCCACCATCTACAACTTAGTCCTCATTGGGATTGAGCGTTACCTGGCTGTGGCGGAATGCCTGAGGAGAAGATGGCGCCTTGGCAGGAACCAGATCCTAGGCATGGTGCTGGGTGTCTGGGGGCTTAGCTTCTTTTTGGGCTTCCTGCCCCTGATGGGCTGGAATTGCTTGGATAGAGACAATGCCTCTGCCCTGTACAGCCCTCTGTGTATCGACTACCTTATTTTCATCACTATCCCTCACTGTGCAGTGGTTTTGATCCTCCCTTTCTTCACCTACTGCAACATCATTGGGTTTTTGAGGAAACACAAGATGGCAATGGGTGCCTTGGGGCAAACCCATGCCACCTACAGGCTGGCCGAGATCCAAGTAGCCCGGACAAGCATATTCATCTGGCTGCTGTCTCTGCTGTCTTACACACCCTTCTTTGCTGGTGTTGTCCTGGATATAACCACTCAGCAGTGCCCCAACAATTTCTCCATGGATGTCTACGTCTTCCGAAACCTTACCGCCATCATGATCACCATGAATTCATTGGGGAACCCCATCATCTACACCCTGAAAGTGAAAACTTTGTGGCACAGACTCAGGTTTTTGAAGTGCCCTTCCAGCAACCGCATAGAAGTGCAGGCCATTGGGAAAATGTGACCCTGCTCGGACCAAAGTGAATCCAGTCTTGTACGTTTTCACCCAAACATCTTTAAATGTCCGCAGTGAGCAATCACTGAGAGTTCAGTCCTATGCATGTCTACTCAGAAGTTCAGTGGGATGCATTCCCCAAGGACACGTGTTTAGGATTGCAGCGTAAATCTCTTTATAGGGGCTATGGGTAGTTGGCAGTTGCAGAGATCTGAATTAATGTTTCAGCTCACCAAAGCGAGCCAGCTTCAGCACTGGACAGTTCTCAAGTACAACTGAGAGTGGGATTTAATTCATCTGCTCTCTCCTATCAACAATAGAATTGTGCTACCTACACTTTGGTAGCATTCATGAACAGGATTGTGTTGGGCTGAAATTATCTACTGTGAACTAACTTCAGAGTGCGTTATTAGACAGTAGAATTTCAATTAGTGGTTTAAAAGGTTCACACCACCCTCCTTTTGATTAGAATTAACAGCAACATTCCAAACTTCATGCAGTACAGAAAGTTGGGCAGGTGTAACAGGAGTCTGGGAAACACCAGCTTAATGTAATTATATATACATATATATTTGGACTGACTAAAATATTGTTGTTGATTGAAAAAACATATTAAGATAGGATGAAAAATAAATGCTACATCAAATTGTATATGACGCATGGTGACTTTGGATAATGTGCTTTCTTATGGAACAATCTGGGGCAGCCTTTGGTAACCTGGTAGCCTCCAGATATTTTGGACTACAGCTCCCATTGGCCTCAATCAGCATGGCTATACAGTGCAGGGCTGATGTCCAGGGCTGAAGTCCAAGTTTTAACATCTGGAAGACACCAGGCTGGCAAAGGCTTCAGCGTGAATAAAACTGAGCTGAGAAACCTCAACCAATATATGTAGCAGAACTGGAAAATCTCATGCAGCAATTCATCTACTAAAAAGCAGACCCCATTGGGTTCAATGGGATTTACTCTCAAGCAGAGCAGCTTTAGAAGGATTTTGTGTGTGTATAAAACCAATGTAACATCAGAGCCAACTGGGAAGGCTTTGCAGTGTTTGCTCTGGCATGACATTAATAAAATGCAATCCTTCCTTTTAGTATCGTTAACCTTTCTCTGAGCAAAGCCAAGCTCACCACATTTAATTTAATTCACTGGTACATCAATGCACAAGAGATAGTGATGTTTCACAATGTTTACAGAGGGCAAACATTAGCATTTTTATGTGGCTTAGCTCCATCATCTGGCCTCAAAGGCAACCTCAAAGAATACACACATATGCACACATATATCCTGGTTTTGGACACATTGGTCACCCAGTTATTTTTCTAACTGCAACTTGTTTATTTCATAAAATTTACATCACTTGGTTGTGAAAAACTGCAAAGTAGTTTATAACAAAGAAAAAACAATAACATTATTACTAAGAAAAATTAACAATAATTTAAGACATTAATTTTTTTGAATAACAAGACTAAAACAGATTAAGAAAAACAATAAAAAATTATATTCTGCCTTTCCTTTGTCATAAACTTATGCAGTTTACGTAAGACTTTGCAACATGACTACAAAATCATTAAAACATCAAAGTTTCCAAATTGCACAATCAGTTTACAGCTTATGATGATGATGTAATAGTAGCAGTAGCAATACTACTGAGTATTATTTATTTATTTACTTATTTACTTACTTTGTCTAGCCAAAACCATTACAAAAGATCAAATATATAAAATAGAATAAAATACATAACACAGTTAAACAAATTATTAAAACCAGACATTCTGTCGGATAAGAGTTTGCACCCCTGAATAATATAACAATAAATATACCCTGTATATTGTAATTATACCCTGCTGTTACTCTTGGTTCATCTAGTCCAGTATTGTCTACTCTGACTGGCAGCAACTCTCCCAAGATTTCAGGGGAAAACCTTTCCCCATCACCTGCTCAATTGAATTAGAGAATTTCTGCGTATGTTTGGCACCAGCTTGGCTGCAAGGAGTTGCCAGGAGGAGGCATTCACAGTGCCAGCCAACCTTCTTAGTGACTCCATCCCAAAAGTTGTGGGATTTGCCCCTTAGCCCTCCTCTTCTCTTGAAGAAATCCTGCAAACCAGCAGAGGTACAGGATCAGCATTCCCCCCCCCCTCTACAAGATGGGCTACCTTCCCACTCTTGGTCTAGTGTCCACTCAATCCGCCGGAGCTTCTCTTCGCAAGCAGGAGAAGTCCCTAACTCCCCAAGGGTTTGAGACCCATCGGCTCCCCTCACCTGGTTTAGCTGGCTATGGTTTGTCTGCTGTCACATGCCCGTGAAAGCCAAGTGGGGGGGGGGAGACCAAAGATGCAGAGACGACCCCAGGAGAAGCACTGACGTATAAGACCTTAAATTTTATTATTACACTACCAGAGGTACTACCTCTCCCCAAGCACCCCATACAGCCCAATACCGCTAGTCCTATTATTATTACTGCCACCATTACTAGACATCTGAAGGCAGCCCTGTTTAGGGAATCTTTTAATGTTTCATGTATAAGCGTATTTTAATATTTGGTTGGAAGCCGCCCAGAGTGGCTGGGGAAGCCTAGCCAGATGTGCGGGGTATTAATAATAATAATAATAATAATAAATAATAATATATTAATATTATCGTAGTAGTGGTAGAAGTAATGAGTAATAATCATATACCGTTGTTGTTAAATCTTAGTATTATTATTAATACTAATATTAATACTAATATTATTAATAATAATACTAAGATTTAACAACAACGGTATATGATTATTACTCATTACTTCTACCACTACTACGATTTACAGCAACCACCGCACCAATCCACAGCACACACACACACACACACACACACGGGATGGGGGTTACAAACTGAAAGGCAGCAAGAATCCCCCAAAGAACAGCTTAAAAACAATGCAAGAGAGAGAGGAAATCATTCTCTCCCGCCTGCACGGGGGCTTAATCAGTGCGTGCAACACAGGACTGCTCAGCCATTGCAATCGAGCGCGATCCTGTTTCGAATGGATGCAGGAGCAGGAGGCGCGGCCTATCGATGGGATCGGCCACTCTGCTGGCTCGGCCTGGTCCCAGATCCCCGCCGGCCAGGAAGGAGACGCACGTGGGAGTTTTTCCCCAGCCGAGATCGAGCAGCAGCGTCTACCATGCAAAGTCCCGGTTGCTCCCGCGTGTGCGTCGTGTGCGGGGAAGGCGGGCGGGGCGGCGCCAAGTACCGCTGCCCGGGCTGCCGGGAGAGATAGTAAGTAGCGGCCGGTGCAAGTAGCGCCCCCCGGGAGCCCTTTGGTGGGCTCCGGTTATTTAGGGACGGAAGGCACTCTTGTGTATGCTCAGAGGTGGCTCTGCAGGACTGTGTCTGTGCTCAGAGGCGCGGAACGTAGGGCTCGGGGGTGGGGAGGTCAATTTTTCTCGCGAAAGTGTGTATGGGCTTACAGCCCCGAGGGTGAAAGAGATCCTGTGTTCTCTTGGGTGTGTGGGCAGTTACCCCCCCCAGTGGTGGTTTAAAAGTGTTGGACGAGGCCCTGGGAGCCCAGGGTTCAAATCCCCACTTAGCAATGAAACTCCCTTGGGATCACATCCACAATTTTAAAGCGCATGACTCCCCCATCCGACCCGGAAGAATTACTAGCTCATTGTTGGTCGAGCTAATGTGCGGTTCTTACTTAAAATCAATCCCTAAGGCAAATAAAAGGTAAGTGAACAGCAAAGATGAGAAATATCTGTTCCATAATTAAAGAAGTGGAATTCCGTGTACACTTCTGGCCCCCTCACGTAAAAAAAAAAAAAGCAGGGGGGAAGTTTTGGAAAGTTCAGAAAAGGGCAACCAAAACGAACAAGGGGATGGAGACCCTCCCTTAGGAGCAAAAGTTACAGTAATTGGGACTTTTTAGGTGGTAAAAAAGGCAAGTAAGAGGTGACACAGTAGCCATTTATAAAATTATGCATGGTATGGAGAAAGTGGCTGGAGAAATTCCCCCTCTCCTTTCATAACACTAGAGCTTGTGGATGGTCAGGGTAGCTGAATGTTGGAAGAGTCAGGGCAGATAAAAGATAGGACTTCTTTGCACAGCAAGTAGAAGTCACTCCCACAATGGCCATCAGCTTGGATGGCTTTGAAAGAGGATTGAACAAATTCACAGAGGATGAGGCTATTTATGGCAATGGAAAGTTACCAAGGTGATGTACAATAAAATAAACATAAAATATCAGGGATGACAAACTAAAGCCACTGAAACCGTTTCTGCCATTATGCAATTATACAGATGAGAAGTGGTTTATATATAAATGAGGAGTCCGTTTTTGTGGTCCTGCTCACTGCCCATTATGCACTGACCTGCTGCTATACCATGAAGGAATTGCAAATGTTTGGTTTTAACACACGGTTATCTTACTATTGTTGATGTTGCAAAATTTTCAGGAGTAGCCAACATGGTGCACTCCAGATGTTGCAGACTTCAACTCCCATCATCCCTGTTTTGCCATGGGAATGCAAAACATCCAGAAGGCACCAAGTTGGCCACTCCTGCATATCGTATTATTTTATGTAGCATAAACCAATTTTTGAGAAAGGGCAATCTATATAACTAATGAGTCGTGTTTTGTGCAGCGGTAATATAAGGAGGTGGGGACGCGGGTGGCGCTGTGGGTAAAGCCTCAGCGCCTAGGGCTTGCCGATCGCATGGTCGGCGGTTCGAATCCCCGCGGCGGGGTGAGCTCCCGTCTTTCGGTCCCAGCTCCTGCCCACCCCTAAGTGCAAGTAGATAAATAGGTACCGCTTTATAGCGGGAAGGTAAACAGCGTTTCCGTGTGCTGCACTGGTGCTGTCTCGCCAGAGCAGCTTCGTCACGCTGGCCACGTGACCCGGAAGTGTCTCCGGACAGCGCTGGCCCCCGGCCTCTTAAGTGAGATGGGCGCACAACCCTAGAGTCGGACACGACTGGCCCGTACGGGCAGGGGTACCTTTACCTTTACCTTAATATAAGGAGCCCTTGTGGTGTGATAATGGTGTCAAGCTTAAGACTTGGGAGACCTGGGTTCAAATCCCCCCTCAGCCATGAAGCTCACTGGGTGACTTTGGGCAGGTCACACTTTTTTCATCCTGGTCTATCTCACAGGTTTGTTGTGAGGATAAAATGGCGGGAGGGGAGAGAAACACCATATAGCCTGGCCTTGAACTCCTTAGGAAAGAAGTAAATGTCTCCACTTAAAAAAACTTCTCTTTGTTCTTGCAGTTGTTCCGTGTCCTGCTGCAAGAAACATAAAGGTAGGATTATATATTTTAAAATAATGACTAGGCTTCCTTGAGTAATTTGCTCTGCAAGTGTGGGTTTATAATGCATTTTTGTGATGTACCATACTTCATGACGGATGGCTACTTTTTGGTCACAACAATCCCAATGTTCAGGCTGTGAGTGCCGTTGCAGTTTTAGCCAAAATGGCCTCCCCCATGCACAAGAAAAGTGATGGTGGACTTAAAAGCCTGAGGTTTTCAGAAATACCAATAATATCCCAAAACCTTAGTTTGGGTGGTAGTGATGAAATAGTTAGAGCCTGGGGAATTTGAAGGTGCTGCCAGAAGAGAGGTCCATATTGCCTTTAACCGCCGGCAAATCTGGAATCATACTTGATAATCTGATGACATTTGTTATTTTAACCCATGTGCAACTGTACTCATTCTATTGTTTTCCATATTTTAATTTTTGTCTGTTGTTATAATTGTTCTCTCTGTTTTATATACCGTATTTTTTGCTCTATAAGACTCACTTTTTCCCTCCTAAAAAGTAAGGGGAAATGTGTGTGCGTCTTACGGTGCGAATGCAGGCTGCACAGTTATCCCAGAAGCCAGAACAGCAAGAGGGATTGCTGCTTTCACTGCGAAGCGATCCTTCTTGCTGTTCTGGCTTCTGAGATTCAGAATATTTTTTTTCTTGTTTTCTCCTCCAAAAACTAGGTGCGTCTTGTGGTCTAGTGCATCTTATAGAGCGAAAAATACGGTATATTATAAAATGGTGGGGCGGAAAAAATACATGGTGGGGGCAATCTTAACCAAAGAGAATGGCCTCAACCCCTCGCTTCCCTTGGCTTGGATGTAATGAGATGTGTTTGGCGTTTGAACAGAACAATGTGCACCCAAAGCAGAACCGCGTCCGCAGCCTACAAGTCAAGAAACTTCCCAGAGGACGGCATCCATGAACGATGAAGGTATTTGCACCCTTTCCAGCTCGCTTGCGAAAAACAAACAGGCTTTTAATTGGCATTGATAGTTGGGGGTCATACTGAGAGAAGAGAAACAGTCAGAGCATCATAAGGACCCTTCTGGACCAGACTAAAGTTTCTTCTAGGACAGTATCCCGTTTTCCCACTGTGGCTGAGTGGCAGGTGACAAAGTCACCATAGATTGTTTGGGTACCAGCCCTGGTACTTTTGCTGGCACTACTTTATTCCTGCTTTTTTCTCAGGACGTTCTTGGTCAGTGGATGACATTTTGACAGAAGATGATGAGGACGATAAGGTGCCCCTGCAGAAACTTCGGCTCTTGGGTAAGTTTTCCAGTGGGAAATATTGTTAACTTTTCCTGTAAAACAGGGATAGGGGAGCTTGTGGCTCTCTTGCTACTTTTGGACTACAACACCCATCATCCTAACCACCTGCTTGCTGTGTCGTCTAGGAGTGGCAGTCCCAGTGGCCATCTGGAGGGTGACTAGTTGGTTATTCCTACTAAAAAGAAATTCCTATGTGTGAATTGAAGCAATTGGTTCTTACGTGAGCAGATGACCCTGCAACTGTTATTTTATGGGTAGGGGGACATCACTGCTTTAAGACTCCATTGTCTGATTTCATGCCCAAAGTTCCTGAATAGCAGGCATGGGGAGCATGGGACCCTCCCAGATGTTGTTGTCTACCTGTCCCTGACTGTGGGTGGGACTGATGAGACTTGGGACCACAGCTCCCCTCATACGCCTCTGCCCAGTTATTTTCTGCTAACAGAAGATAAAATAATAATAATACATTGAAAGTACAGATAAAAAAACAATCAAAATTACAAGGCTTAGGAGCAGCACACAAGGTGTATTTTTTAAATAAACAGAGGGCAGCTAATGTAGAAAAATGACAGCAACAAGGCACATCATGAAAGCTAAATGATGCAGTTTGTTGGGGGAAGAGTTTGTATATCTGAATTTGACAAATTAGAAATGAAATCCCACCAAACAGCATAGAAATGTTCTGTATCTTACCCTTAGGGATTAGTAATTTGCATGTCATTTCCTCTGCAATAGCCAAATTCCACATATTGTGGGGAGGGGGCAGGGTGAGAGGTTTAAGTACTGTAGTGTCTTCACTTTCTGGGCCAAATAAGGCAATATTGTCTGCTCCTGACCATGGCTTTTCAGGATCTTGGGGCAGAAAGTCTTTTTTCCCATCATCTCTTACCTTAGAGATGGGGAACCTTTGGCCCTCCAGAAGTGTCTGACCATTGGCCCTTGCTGGCTGTGGCCCAAGAACAGCAGGATGGAGACAGGTTCTCAGGCCCTGTGTTATTTCATCTGGAGATGCCGGGGATTGAACCTGGGGCATTCTGGATGCAAAGCCAGCACTCTACCCCCTGAGCTCCAGTCCTTCTCCAAAGATGGGCACCAGTCGCCAACGATCTTCCCACCCTCCTTCTTGGAGTCATCTCCCTCTTTTTCCAAAACAGGGGAATCTGAAGAACTCAAAGGCCTCCTCCTCAACCCCCACCTCGGCCAGCTGCTTCTCACTGTCGACCAGGCCAAAGACAAGAGTGCCATCCTGAAGACATACATGCAGGAGCCTCTCTTTGTGGAGTTTGCAGACTGTTGCCTGAGGATTGTGGAGCCTCCCGAGAAGGAGAACACACGCCCAGAGTGATTTTTGTGTGTGCGGAGCAGGTAGACGATGCCCCTCTCTGGGTGGGGAAGTTTGTTATTTGCAAGGCTGGAGGAAGGGCTTCTCTTGTGGCTAACCCCTGGAGCATCATAAGCTATAATTCATAGCCCTCTTTCCTAGGGAGGGCACACCATTTCCCTGGTAACCATGGGCCCTAGATTTGGGGGGAAATGAAGTGTTTACACACGCTGCCTTTTTGTGTTCCAAAAGTAGCCTCTCCACCACCTTTGATTATCTTCAGGCTGTAAAGAGAGTTAAGGTTTGGAACAGGAGCAAGAGCCAAGTTTCCCACTGCCCTTGCAATAGCATCTTGATCTTACATTGGATGGGAATTAAATGCAATTGCAGCTAAAGTTACATTGCCCTGTTGATTTCAGTGAGACTTCCTTGGGGTGAACCTCTCCCCTGGTTTTGCTCCCATTAGTTCTGGAGCCATTGACAGAAGCAGGCTAGAGATTATTTCATAATCATGGACGTTTTTATTGAGTCTTCATTTGTAGAAAATGGCCTGCAAGTACGAAACTGATCCCTGTGTCTAATCCTAAGGAGTGTACTTATACACTGAATCTTATCTTCCTGTCTGAGCAGTTTGGAATTCTGCTTACTGAAATTTTGAAATGACTGAGCCCATAAACTTTGTCTTGCCCCAGAGTAGATTTGCCCACCTGGTGTCCACTAGATGTTTTGGATTGCAGAATCCCATCTGCCCTAGCCAGCATAGCTACATGCCAGCTGGGGTGAATGGGAGCTGTGGTCCAATATAGTTGGAGAGAACCTAGTTGGCAAAGGCGACGATTATTATTTTTTAAAAGTCCCAAAGCAAAAATAGGTTTGTTTCCCTCTCCCTGAGAGAACCACCACCCTTTATTACAATAAAGAAAGTTTAAAAACGTTGTTTAAAACAGACATTTTCACAATACTTTTAAAAAGTTACCTTTGGTTTATAAGTCAAGATAGTAGTTCACAATGTGATTTTCCTGAGGTGTGGACTTGAATTCTAAACCCCAGTTGGTTTAGAGATTCTGCTTCCAACTCCTGATTATATAAATTGGAGTAAGATAACTGAAGTTTAAACCAATCTGGTGAATAAGTTGCTCACCTGCCATTTTAATTTTATTTTTGCTGCACAGGAAGCTAGTAGCCTACACAGCTGCGGAGGAGGAAATACTGGCTAGTAAAAAATAAAAAAATTAAAGCTTTTGCTTAAGCAGGCTTGTGGTAGGATCAGGGAGGTGAATTCCACCTCCACAAGTCTGCTGAGGAAACTGCTTCATTTCCTCTGTGGCTAGAACGGTGCTGAGGGTTGGGCAAATGAGGGTTGCCAGTCTGCTTGCTCGCCTGCATGGAATTCCAGATCACCTGTGGTGACCAGGCAAGTTGTTAAATGCAAGGCTGGGTGAAGTGGAGTCTCTCTCTCTGGCAGGTGTTGGCGTAAGCTGCTCAGCTTTTGTGCATGGACACAAGGCCCCCTTGGTCCCCATAGAAGTGTGTGTATGAGGCACAGCTTGTCCTCCTGTATTTTGAAAGGATGGATAGCACATGTATGTCGCAGAGAAATTCTGTGATAGGCTCTCCCCCTGACATCATGTGTGTATAGTGCTTGCAGTAATGGGGAGGTGTGCCTTCCCCAGAGAAGTGCCCTGTTACCTTCCACCAAGAGATGCCACATGAGAGTCCGAACCATTTTTGAGGAAACCGTATCCTAAATGCAGTGGGAGAGATGCAGCTTGATGAAGGTTCTTGTTGAGTGAGAAAGCATAAAAAGTGCAGTAAATAGTATATAAAAGCACGTAGAAGTCAGTTCTCAAGCTGAAAGGAGCTTGTAGTTGTCGAGGAGAATCTGGTTGAAGCCGGTCATGGTGCAGTTGTGGGTGTGCGGCCTGGTGTCTGCGTAAAGCAGCGGAGATTTCCTGCAGTGGAACTTGATCGAGCCCTAGGAGGAGAAATGGGTTACCCTGGTGAGCCATGTCCAGGCACATGCGCAGCACTGAACCAGGCGAACCAATGGTCTGACTCGGAATAAGGCAGCTTTCTATGTGGTTGGACTCCCAACTTCCATCAGCTGTGGGCAGCATGGCCAGTGGTTAGAGATGATGTGATATGTAGTCCAGCGACATAGACATTGCAGGGGGTTAGACTAGATGATTCTCAGGGTTCCACCCAACTCTACAATTCTATCGGGAGGGACACAGGTTTTCCACCCCCCTGCCTTCTTTATAGAACAGGATGAGCCTTGGATGTTTCAGGGCAGAGTTTAGCATCAGGATTCAGAGCTGTGCTTTTTAAAAATTTTACATACTTTTGGGGTTTTCTAACGGGCACTGACTCTGAAAGAGTTCTGTCCACCTCCCTTCCACTTAAAGCAACTACCGTATTTTTCGCACCATAAGGCACACCGGACCATAGGGCGCACCCAGTTTTTAGGGGGGGAAATCAAGAAAAAAAATCTCCCCCCCCCAGCCCCAAAGAGCAGCGTACAGGCTGCGCACAACCTCTCCCTGTTGGAGGGGTTGCGCACGGCTATGGCACAAGCCAAGTCAGCGAGCAGGATGGATCCCGCTCGCTGTTTTGGCTTCCTCTTTAGCCCCGCGCAACCTCTCCTTGCCGGGAGACGCTGCGCAGGGCTAAAGAATCCATAGCCCCGTGCAGCCTCTCCTCTCCTGGCTTTCCTGGGAGGTGGGGGGATTCCCTCACCTCTTGCAAAAGCCCGCAGAAGCCGCGCAACCCCTTTAAAGAGATTGGGGCTTCTCCTGGCTTTTTTGGGAGGTGGGAGAAGGGACTGATGCGGCCAGTCAGTCCCTTCTCCCTCCTGTGGAAAAGCCCGCAAGAGCGCACGGAGCTTGTGTGCGGCTCTTGGGGGCTTTTCCCGCCTGCCTCCCCCCTGCATTCGCTCCATAGGACGCACACACATTTCCCCTTGCTTTTTAGGAGGGAAAAAGTGCGTCCTATGGTGCGAAAAATACGGTATGCAACATGGGAGACAGTAACCAACCAGTTTTTGGGGGAGGAGGGGGATGTTAGTCGCATGGTCCTTACCTGTGGGAGGGCTCTGATGGAGGTGACCCCTTGCGTGCGCTGCTTGGTCTCTGCCTTGTGATGGTTGTTCTGCTGCAGCACTTGGAGGCAGGCCAGGCGGGCGAGGTCTCTCTGAAAAGCACCCAGTGTCACTGGGCCGCTTGAAAGGACCAGCCCAAGAGGCCAGAACTGGATTGCTGCATTTAGGGGGCATGGCTTTTCCAACTTGCTATGTGTCTCGCTCAATGAAACCGTTGCCCTAAGGCTGGAGGAGAGGGGGCTTCCTTCTAAGTCATCCAACTCCTCTGCGGCCAGGACATCCATCTTGGCCTACGGAAAGACAGAAAGTATTTAAAACTTTTTTGGGGAGAAAACAAAGGCAGAGATTCTCAGAAAGCAGAAATCTGTGTTGGTGCTATTTTCCAACAAGCTGCTGGGAAGACTTTGATCTCTTACCTTCCATTTTTTCCAGGTCCGTTTTATAACCCTGACAGCTTTCCGTAGCCTCTGGAAATGTTTCCTGGCCAACCACGAGCGAACAGCTGAGAAAGAAAGACACTGCATTAAGGGAGTATAAGGAACAGCAGGAAAGGACCTCATACCAAGTGTCCATGCAGCCTAGTACTGTCTGCTCTGACTGTCCAGGGTCTCAGGCAGAGAGACTCCTGGCTCCTCCTTAAGGCTTTTTGCCTGGCTGGGATGTGTCCTTGAAATCTGACCACACCGCTTTTGCTGGTCTGGCCGGAAGATAGAGTGTTAGAAGTGTATGCATTCACAAAGCCCAGAACAAGGTAGGTCCAGGGCACCTTAGAGACCTCCTCAACCTTTCTAGCCCAGCTCGATCATTGAGATAATCTGCAGGAGCTTAGTTGGTCATTTCCCTCATTTGACAACATCAAGAAACCCAAGTTTTTAGTGTCATTGGCCCAGCCCTGTGGAACACTCTGCCAACAGAGATTCAGCCAAGCACCTTCTGGGCCAGCTTTTAAACTCCTGCTGAAAACTTTTGTTTCGCCAGGCTTATGCAAGCAATTAAGAAGACATCTCTGCCCAACAGTTAGCTGATTTTTGATTTTGTGTATAATTGTTGTAAACCATTCTTTTGTGCTTTTTATGAACATCTGTATATATTTATAAAAATATATGAAATAGCACAGTGCCACGGCAAAATTTGCTTTTATTTCTGAGGGCATGTGACCCTCAGAAGGCATGTAACCCCTTGGCCTGAAAAAGGTTCCCTGCCCCCGAGCTAACCCAGGTAAACCCGCCTGCTCACCTGACTGGATGACTGTGGCCGACGCTCTCTCTTGAGCCAGCTTCCTCCTCTTAAACCTTCGCCAGCAGCACTGGATGCAGAAAGCTTTGTCAGCTAAGACTCTGGCTCGCCCCACTTCGAGGAGCTCCAGCTACAGAAGAGAAAAATAATAAGTCCGTTAGTTGGAGCCACATGCAATCAGGCTTCATGCATATCTGGCCTTTGGACTGCCCCCAAACAAAGGATTTTATTTTATTTTTGGAGAGACAGATTTAATCTCCGAGGTGAGAAGAGTTTCAGAGTCCAGCGGAGGAAGGAGATAACTTAAACTTTTCATTGTGGGCAAATGCCCTGTTCTAAGTACAAGTAAGCAAACCTACCTGAGTGGAGATGCAGTGTGGTGTAATGGTTAGAGCAGAGGCAGCTAGCCTTTTCCAGGCAGACCCTTTGCAGGCAACATGCCAAGGCAGACATGATAAGAACTGCAGTTCTCAATGCTAACTTCCAAAACACTTTCTTATCAGCTATTCTACACTATTTAAAATAATTTATATATAACTGAACAACATTTTGGCGCCATAACAGCGGACATATGGGAGGAGTCACTGAATAATTATTTTTTTTTAAAAAAACACACATTTTGAGGATGGCTTGGGGTGGGGAAGAGTACATTCTGCAGGTGAGTGAACCTTGGTTGAAAGCGTAGGATTAGGATTTATTTCATTTTTAAAAAATGTATTTGGTACATTCCTATCCAACCTTGGGCAAATGCAAGAAAAACAAACCAAACATTGGCTCATTCCTGTTTTTAAATGAAAACCAAGGCTACATTCACACAATACATTTAACATGACACAGCCATGGCTCCCTCAAGGAATTCTGGTTTGTTAAGGGTGGTTACGAGACCCCATTCTCCTCCCATGGTCTCCAGCGTTCCCTGAGAGGAGGGACTGATTGTTAAACCACTCTGGCACTGCAGCTCTGCGAGGGGAATGGGGTTTATCTTGACAACTCTCAGCACCCCTAACTAATGGCAGCTCCCAGAATTCTTTGGGGGGAGCCATGCCTGCTTAAAGTGGCATCATAGCACTTTAGAACCATTGACATATGGTATGATTTGCAGGAAATGGAATTCTGTTTCTGATGAGGGTGAGGATGACTCCATGGCAAAGAACCCACTGAAAGTGTCCCCCTTACCGTGGAGTTCGTCATAAATACTTTGGTTTTTCCACAATATACTGGCACAATACAGGGTTGGTTCTCTGTAGGCTTGAGGGGAGGGGCATCAGGGGGGCACATTTGCTGAAGGATCTCCTGGACTGCAGAGCGTAAAGCATCGCTTTTGTCCTCTGCAGAAGACGCCGTCATCAAACCTGTTAGAAAAGAAAGGGGAGTATTTTATAATGTATTATTTTACTGCAAGAATCATAGAAATTGTATTATTGGTTTTATTTTGAGGGAGGGAATGAGACTGACTTTAGCTTTTAAACACCTGATTTTTATTGGTAATTTTAATATATGTTTTAATATTTCATGTAAACCGCTAAGAGGTTTTAAGATGAATTGGCAAACACATCTTGTAGAAATAAAAATAAAGACAAAAACATGGCCAACCACTTAAGACATGGTTGGCTTGCCACATACAGCTTGGCCTAACCTCATGAGAGACCTGACCCTGTGCTTACCTCCGCTGGCTGGCCTGGTCTGCTAAAGCAAACAGAGAAAGAAAGATGCGGTTCGTTGCTTGAAAGGAGAAACAGCCCCGTAGAGAGAAGAGCGGGTTTTTGCAAGAGCAGAAGAAGAATCCAGGGTGGAGCTGGAGAGACGAAAAAGTGTAGTTGGAAGGGTATTGGATTCATGCACAGAAGAAGAAAATAAAGTAGCAGTATCCCTTACATAAAAGCAGGTTTCTGACAATGCCATTTTGACATCAAGAAAAATTCCATTCTGCCACTTGTTTAAAATTTTGGCTTGTGTAAGATCATAAGAAGAGCCTGCTGGACCAGGCGAAAGGTCAACTAGATGCCTACAGGGAACCTGGGTGCAAGAGTGCTCTTCCCAACTCGTGATTCCCAGCAACCGGTCTATAGGGGCACATTGCCTCTGACGGGAGGGAGAATACAGTTGCATCGTTGCCAGTGAGGGGTGATAAAAATGTGCATCACAACCCACACAAGAGCTAGACATAAATACAATTTTTAAAGAATGTGAAATAAAGATTCTAAGGTTGCTTATCCACACTCAAAATGGGACATGTGCAGGAAACTTGACCCTGCACCCAAGCATTGTGCTCTTTGTTTTTAGCTGGTTCCCAGAAATAGCACCAGAAAGTCTGAAAAGAAAGACAGAGATTTAAAGGGGGGGGGGGGAATTGACAGAGTCTCTTAGATGGCTTTTCAGTGCACCAAGTTGGGGAAGATCAGTTAATTTCAGACATATTTCAAATTACTAAGGAAAGAGACTTGATTAAAGAAACACACCGTTCCCCATAACGTGGGAAAAGCCATTCTCCTGATGCGTGGTGTTTGACTTTTGCTTTGGTGATCTCAGCACTTTATAACGCTCCATGAAGCTTTCAAAGGAAATCCTGCCAGGTCAAAAGGAAGGGAGAGAGAAAAAAATCAGTTCAAAGCATTGTTGATTAAACAAGTGGAGCACGAGGCATCCTGAACACAACTCCCACTGCTTAGCCTCTCCTACACTAAACATGCCCACATTTCACTGGATGCCAAGACTGAACGCTCCACCTCCCCATCTGTTCTGAACAGAAGAGAAGTGCTAAGAGTTTCTGTCTGAGCAAAAGTGGTAGTGGCCTTTCCACACAATGATGGGGTGGGGGCATGCACACCCTGGTTTTGTGATCCCCTCTCTTTTTCTACTTTAATTTTAGATGTGGCAGCCCAAGGTTGCATCCTAGACTGACCTCCCTGTTGTGATTAGATATCTACTTGCAATCTACTTGTTTTATGGCGCGATGGGACATTGTAGTGTGGTTGTTGCCAGCAATCAGCCTGAATTTGTACAATCTACTCCCCCACCCTAAAGGAAGGGAGAGGGAATCCAGATGAACATGGGCAAATCTGTGTTCCCTGAAATACAAAAACAAGGGGGAAATGCAACTCTGGACAGCCTTACCGAATTGGAAAGCCTGCAGCGCTGATGTTGACAGCTTCCACGATGCCACACGCCTCCAGCTGCTGCAGAACCTGACAAAATAGGATGATGTTTAAAGGCAGGGTTGAGAGCTGGTGCCCATTCTAGTGACTTTAAATTAAAGGCCAGAGCTATGAATTACGACGTCCCTGGTTCAAATGTCACCTGCAGCACAGGTACTTACATGGCCTTGGCACTGAGCTCGCCCCCCCCCCCCAGCTGGCTTTGGAAGTTCAATTCTGAGTGCATTACCTCGTCCTTTCGGAAAAGAGCTGCCTGGCAATCTGCGTTGGGCTTGATGCAGCGAATGTAGTGTGGGGTGGTGCTGTGCAGGATCTCCATCAGCTTCTCAAGCGACCCCTACGGGACAAACAGGACAGCGTGTTGTGCTCATCATTCCCTCTATTTCTGATGCCTAGGGAGGTAAAATGATACCGCCTATGCCCAAAAGAGTAGGGACGGGGGAGAGATTCGTTTCAGTTTGTGCTTAAAGGCCAATTCAGCTAGTTCGCACTTTCTGTGTGGAGTGAAACACAACCATGCTTTGAAATACACACGCCTCTGAATTTTGCTCTGGAGTTTTCCAGCCAAGCGTTCCTATGTTAGGGTGGAGTGTGCATAAAAATGCAGACGTTAGTAAAAAATAATATAGACAAATGCATTGTTTAGGGGAAATGGCATAGCAAAAATGTGTCCATTAAGAGAAAGTCGCACCATGACACCGATGACATTTAAAAAGATAAGTATATATTGCAATCTGATGTGGAAATGCAGAGAGCTGAATTTAAGATTTGAAAAAACAAGAGAATCTTGTCCGAATTCCTAAAGGGCCACTGCTAGCCAATGTAGCCAATACTGAGCTAGGTGGACCAGTGGGTCTGACTCAGCATAATGCAGCCTTTTATGTTTCTAATTCCTGACACGGTGAGTGTTGTTGGCACTCTGGGCACACACAAACACATACCCAGTTCGTGCAGAGGAACAGTGAGTCTGATTCTGCATGGTGCGAGCTTGCAACCTAGCAAACTGCCTAGAATCCTCAGCAAGACGAAGCTCTATGACAGGATGCTTGGGAAACAAGGCCCTGTGGGAAACTGGTTCCCAGCCGCTGGGCATTTTGGAAACACCTAACATTACAGACGATTATTCTGTGTACAGAATGACCATTTGTTCTGAGAATCCCAGGTTTTATTCTATTTAACGAACACTAGCTTCTAGCCCTCACTGTTGTACAGAGAAGTGTGGAAGAAGAAAAACAAACAGCAGCTTTGAAGGTACTTAGCTTAAAAAAAGGTATAAATATGGGGCAAACCTTGAATTTGGAGACTACTGTAACCACCACAGGTTTCATCTGAGTCCTGATCTCGTTTGTGCTTGTTTTTTGGCTTGTGGTTTCCACAGGAAACAATTTCTGAAGCAAAGAATCCTGGGACAGCTGTAGCAACAGAACCAGTTCTGGGGGGACGGGGTCCTTTTTTGAAGGCAGGAAAGAGAAGACAAGGAGCATGCAACTGTTATTGTTTTCTGAGGGAAAATTGTATGAAACATTTACAGGGAGCAGGAGGAAATATTATAGTTAGGACAACATATTTGCAAACAACTTGGGAGAAACTGGATGGAGAATACTTCCAACTTAACAAAATACTGCGACTTAAGGAAATATCCTGGACCAGGAGACAATAACTGGGAGGTGATTTGGCACCCAAAGAGCTCTTTGTGCATACCCAGAGGTGTTGCGCAAAAC